CTTCCTTCCTTCCTTCCTTCCTTCCTTCCTTCCTTCTTTCTTTTTTATGTGCTCACACATTAATTTTTTAAGATTTTCTTCTTTTATATCTATGGTACTCTATCTGCATATACACCTGCAGGCCAAAAGAGGGCATCAGATCCCATTATAGATGGCTGTAAGCCACCATGTGGTTGCTGGGAATTGAACTAAGAACCTCTGGAAGAGCTGCCAGTGCTCTTAACAACTGGGCCATCTCTCCAGTCCAGTTTGGGTATTTTAGGTCTCTGTTTACTCACCTGTAGAATGGGTTGATCGCAGTGTTGAGTGCACAGTACACAATGTGCACTATGTATAGGACATACCTTCCACAGGGCCCAGCCTGGTGTTATCCTGCTCCGGCCCTCTCTACCCTACCAGAGCATCAGTTTCGTCTCCTATCTGTCTTTCCTCAGATTGAAAACATACTTCAAGTTCTTTATTGTGAGAGATCCCTTCGAAAGACTGATTTCGGCCTTTAAGGATAAGTTCGTGCACAATCCGCGCTTTGAGCCTTGGTACAGGCATGAGATCGCCCCTGGCATTATCAGGAAGTACCGGAAGGACCGAACAGAGACCCGGGGGATCCAGTTTGAAGATTTTGTGCGCTACCTGGGTGACCCAAACCACAGATGGTTAGACCTTCAGTTTGGGGACCATATCATCCACTGGGTGACCTATGTAGAACTCTGTGCACCCTGTGAGATAAAGTACAGTGTGATCGGACACCATGAAACCCTGGAGGAGGATGCCCCGTACATCCTGAAGGAAGCTGGCATAGACCACCTGGTGTCGTACCCCACCATCCCCCCAGGCATCACCTCGTACAACAGAACTAAAGTAGAACACTACTTCCTGGGCATCAGCAAACGAGACATCCGGCGCCTGTATGCGCGTTTTGAAGGGGACTTTAAGCTCTTTGGGTATCAGAAACCAGATTTTTTGCTAAATTAATGCATAGGGCCCTTGAATTCTTGCTAGATCAGGGTCTGATGAGGTGGAGGTCTGAGCACAGCTATGAGACTTTCTCCATCATCCCCATAGTTCTGTGAACAGATGGTGTTGGGCTCTGATTATCTGAGCTTGGCTGTCAGATGCTCTGAGGCCCGCCAACCCCACCCCCTTGAAACTGTATCATTAGGTCACTAGCCATCACTCCCAGGAGAGGTTAAGAAAGACTGTTTGCAGACTGGTGGGCAGACCCCGAGGATACAGTGCTAGGAGCTGTTCCCTGTTTGTCACATTGCCATTAGCACTAGCAGCTAAGCAGTGGCTGGGTGGTGTCACCTGTGACCTGTGGATTGCACAGACCCAGCACTTTCAAGAGAGACGGAGATGCTGAATGGTTGCAGAAGTTACTGGGGCCCATGCAGACTCAAATCTAAGTCAGAAGGATGCCTCTTCCATCTCGCCACAACTGTAGCCACAGACACAGATCATTTATGTTCCTCAAGCGTGAGGCCCTGTGACATTTGGTGGTGATAGTCACAGAACCATTTGAGCAGTCTGTCCTTTCAAGTTCCAGGCTAGCCCATTTTTTTTCCAGGTCCTCTGACCCTATAAGCATCTGTTTCATTCTGCAGAAGTGATACCCTTCTGGCAAATGAGGGGGGTATGTAGGGACACCTTTGGGGACTTGGAACTTGGCACAGGGAAGAAAGAACTGGACGGTCCTGGGAACTCAGGCTGCTGTTGGAATTGGGTGCCTTTGTCTTGGCTCCTGCTTTTATCTTGGACTGCCCTTGGAGTGAGCAGCGGGAACTTTTCCACCTGTCTCCTCCATGAACCCCGCTGTCCTAAAAGGATACAAGTCCCTGCTGACAACAGGCAGGCACGTCATGCCCGCATTGCAGAATCCAGTACTGTTTACACACTGCCATGTCCACACATGTCGACAGACAGGATCCTCCAGCCCTGGTTCTAATAGTGCCACCATTCTGGACAGAAAGACCACGAGTCGGCTAACCAGATTCATCAGCAATAAAATCTCGGGTGAAGCCAGTTCTGGCAACATGTCATCCAGGCACTGAGGCCAGGCCCCGGCAAAAAGAAAGCCACAGCAGCCATGTTGGCCGCCAACGAGCAGCAACGTGCTGCTCAAGATGACAGAATGGTCTCCCTGAGGGAGTCCCTGGCACACACATCTGCCCAGGGTCCGGTGAAACTGTGCTAGCTTTTCCTAAAGGCCACAGTCCTCCTTGAGTCTCAGAAAGCCTTCCTGAACATGTAAATGTGAAAGTAAAATAAAATTTAAAATATGTGCCAAATCTGACCAGTGGCGAGGGGGCTCCAGGGCCACAGTAGTTCCTGAGGGCTGCGGGCTGAGACCAGGGATGGGGCTGTAGACTGGAATGAGGCTCGGCCTTCCCTGGCCGACCGACATGCCAAGAACGTGACATTGGGTTATTTTTAATGAAGTTTTGGCATTCATAAAACCACTTCAGACCTGAACTGCTGGTCCATGACCTCTTTCCTGCTCTTGACAGGCAACAGTGTTAGTAGCGTGTGTGTGGAGTTAAGGCCTTCAAGTTAGTCTTGATTAAAGCGGCATTTTCTTTCCTGTATCTGACCGGGTTGCTTTGGTCTTTCTCTTTCCCTCCATTCTGGCATTCTGGTTATTTTCCTAACATACTTTGCCAAACAAGTAAAGATATCTACCACAGTACTTCTGGAACAGGCCCACCTCCACACACCTGATCCCAGACAACCAGCCTCCCCAGAGAGGCTTAGCCCAATACCCTTCTCCAAAGTCTTGGAAGGCCCTTCTTGTTTTCAAAATCACGCTCCTCTTCCTCTTCATTCAAGGAGGCAATCCCTGTCCTCGTGTCCCTTGAACCACTGACAGATTCATTACAGTTGGGGCTGCAGTTGCCCACACCCCTGCACAGAGGAGCATACACTGCCAAGCCTGCCCTCAGCCTTCTCATCAGCCCACCTGAACAGACACTGGGTCTCACGGCTCAGAAGCCATCCTTTGCAGGAAGGAGGCAGCAGATCCACCTTCTAGACCCATCGGGTAGTAGAGTCACCCTCACAGCTCAGCAGTGGGCCTACCATCCCTTGGGCTTGATCCTTCACCTTCAGCTTAAAGTTCCAGAAGGTACCCAGACTCTGCTAGACCCTGGTCCTGCCCTCTGGAGTTGGCAGCCTCACCTGGTTCCCTTGAGGCTGTAGAAAGAGAAGCAGCTCCGATCTCCAAAAGAGCCTGCGGAACCCTGTTTGTCCCAATGCATGCTGGGTGTTTGCAGCCTGCCTTCTCCCCTTCTGCCGGATTTTCTCTTTTTCCTTTGGGGCCAGCAGGCAGCATTCTGCTGGAGTACTCTTGCCTCTCTTCCTGGCCTCTGCATTAGAGTTCTCTAGAGGAACAGAACTGATGGAATGAATAAATAGATAGTCTTGCGGGCCGCAGAAATATATCATAAGAACTCAGCTGATTATGGCAAAGTCACTACCTGGAGGGATCAGGGAATTCCTCCAGAGGAAGCCAAATCCCAAGGAGTTTTTGGTGTTACTTGGCTTGTTATATATCAGCTGTATTCTGTTATGAAAATCATGTGTGCCTTCATAGTTTTCCCAATTGACTTTCCCC